AGTTTCGGGACAAATCCCACGACGAAGTAAAGCAAAACCAATGCAATCCCAATTTATCTCTGGCGTTAAACAGAAAATCTGTCATTGCTCGGTCGAAATGTTATCAGTTCGCAAACTTATCCACATGACCCCTGGACGTGTTGCACATCAAGTCTTTCCTTGACGGAGACCAAATGCCTTGGAAGGAGCTTAAAGTCACTAAGACTGATTAGTAGAGATTCTTAATGTACAAACTAAAAAGAAACTTGTTTTCTTGCTTCATCAAAGTGTAACTCTGTCTCTTGAAATTCCGTTGTAACTTGTTCTGGATCCAGTACCGTGAGGTTCTCCCAAATACCCATCATCCCTTGGAGACATCAGGTCCAAACGAACTGCAGGCTCATGAGCAGAAGCTATAATGTTTGCGGTACTAAACAGGTTCGAAAGTCTTTGAGGAGGTTCCCAGATTAGTTGTATCCAGGCCGACTGACGTTTCGAGCGTTAGCCCTTCGCTCTGACGAAGGGCTAACGCGCGAAACGTCAGCTTTTTTACTCTTTACGATGGTCAATTTACGTTTTAAACTCAGTTGTTAACACTAAATTACCTGCTACACTCTCCCACCGACGCAGCACCACAGTTTCTTTAGAAACTTACCCCTTTATTCATTCGACTCTTTTCTAATTTGATTCCCTTGAATTCGCGGTTGAGGAGTTTTCTTTCCTGTAAAAGTTGTCTCTCACGATTTAGAAGTGTAGTTACCTAAGGAAAAACAATAATAATGATTGGTGCCGGATACCTAAAGTCTAAAAACAACCGAGGCCAAAGCCACCATTTTGAAAAATTAACAAACTGAGATAAAATTTAAGAAAGCTAGAAAGCAAGCAATTCTATCTTCTTAGCGCTCATTCAGTTGTAAAATAAAAACCACAGTAACGAAAGATCGATGCAATCCCGGATTACCTGAACCCTTATACTCTGAGAGTGACAAGCATCTAATTTCTCCTTACAATATCACCCCCAATTAACGCATTAAGGTCACGAGAAGAAAGAAAATGATCACCAACTAATGAAGCTCTTGATTGGTAAACAAATTCTCCTTGTCTTCTCCTTAGGAAATGTATTGAGAACAGTGTGGAGAATATGTATACTGATCTTAGGGTGTAAAGGGTTAAAGACCCAATTGAAAGTCTCTTTAGAAATTTTTGAAATAACTATTTGAAAGACTTGAGGGATATGAAGTAAGTGAGTTGATTGTTTGGCTCTTTAATGGGAAAATAGTAACGAGGAAATAACTAAATCAACAACAACAGAAAAACCAAAGTTTTGGCAGGATAAGACAGGATAGCGCACTGCGTGTACACATTTCGTTCTTATATCTGAGAGTTTGCTGCATCTGCTCTTGTTTCTGGATCGACGACCATACTTTGAAGCTTCTCGTGAATGAGCTTTGAACTCCAACTGCAAAGGGAATAAGAGAAAAATAGAAAGTTAGCTGCTTGGGCAAAAACTCTATGAACATCAAGAGCGAACCTCTCCCTCGTGAAACCTCTATGTGAGGAAGAAATCTTTCGTTCCATTTGAAAAAGGATGCTCGAGTAAGCGTCGTATCTGTTACGATTAATGAAGCGAATCTCCTATTCAAGGGACACTTTTCCCTCTCTCGATAGTGTCCTATCACTGGAGTTTCCACCGTCAGTGAGAAGCCATAAACACCAGCACTACTTTGACAGAAAGGCGAATGCAACAGATTTTGGCACGCACTCACTTTAGACAGAAACAACAACAACAACATGTATTTCCAATACTAAGAACGACAATCACTTCGTGGCTATTGTCGAGTAGTACCTCTTCTCTCGCCTGCCTCTCCTCGTTTAACTGGCCATTCAGTTCATCATTCCTCCGTTTCTGCTTGTTAATCTCTTGTCTAGTAGAGAGAAGGTAAAACAATAAAGTGAACATATGTGGCTAAGAGACGATTCAGTGTGTTTTCTCCTTTTTTTTAATACCACTTCAATGAAAGTTGTTCTACTGGAGACTGTTCTTTGAGAGGCGTTGGTGCTATGTCAGCCCGAATTCTTAGGTGTAGAAGTGTACATTAGGGCAAAAACTTTTAGGGTTTTACCCCACTGTGAATCAAATTGAAGGGATTATAACTGTTTGCAAAGCTACAAAGATGAATAAAAAATTTATACTAACCTTAATCTTTTCTTCAGTCAAAGTTTCAGGAAAAACTTTGTACAGTTTTCAATGTGGCGTAAGTTTTAAACCGAACAAAAATGATTGTAAAGAAAGTATAAGTTGCTGTGGCAACCGAAGCTTCGTCTTTCAAAAAGCGCCGTATAGACAACAGAAGGGAAATCGTTGTAGGAATGTCTATCATTATTTTTGTTCATCTCCTAAGAATACGCAAGTAACGACAGTAGAATCTTACCTCAACTCATTTACTGTTGCCGAATGTTGCAAGTTAACTCTTATAAATTCAACGGAGCTTTCAGTTTAGGTGCAATGAACGAATTTTAAACTCTACTTTGTGCATGGAAGCCGTCCACCAATCCAGGGAGTATTTCAAAAGATGATTTGTCAAGCCACCGGCGCCACAACAAAACGGCGTGTCAGGTTGTGCGAGAAAATTGCTGAGCGCACTTTGCAAGTAAACTTAACTATACGTAAGCTTTATTAGACAAGAACTCAAAAAAATGTCTGAAAGCCCTGATTTGAAATACATCACAGAATAATTTGTTAAATGCTTGTTCTTATGAGCGAAAGTGCTTTTTAGTTCCTAGCTTATCTGCCATTCCCGACAACATCTGTTTTTCTGTTTGTAACAATAAGAATGAAAAAGTTTGTTGACAGTGAGTTTTTGTAATAAACTTGAATCAAATAGTAACTTCTTTTAAATTAATGATGAATTAGCGAAAGGATAAATTTATATATAACTATATTTAACCGATAACTGGTAGCCAATATGACCTCAAGGAAACAAAGTTGAGGAAACTTTACGATGTTAAATGACAGAGGCAGTGTTTTTTCGTTAGTTTTTCATATGACCAGCTGAAAAAACTTTTGATTCACCTCTGTCAAAAGCTAAGAGAGGTTTAAACTTCGCGAGTATCAGTTCCACGGTCGCCACTGATTTACATGTGGAAATTATTTGGATCTGCCTGCACAAGTAAATTCTCTCTTCAGATTTTGACACATCCCATACTTGCATTTCTGAGAATTTCGTATTAGATCAAGACAGCTTGAAGAGGCTCGGTGCCTTTAAAACCTCTTGCTAGATGAAAAAAGACAACCACGATTTTTAAATTTGGAAGGCTGGGCGCGATGACCCAAGCTAGACTGGGAAAAGCCGCGCGACCCTGCAAGAAGTGAATTAAAAGAGGTAATGAATAAATAATAGGTAAAATACTTTTCGACTGAGTTATGTCGAACATTACTGGAAAAATATTTGGCTCCCAAAATTTTCAAAACGTAGGGACCCAGCGTGGCGACACCTGAACTTCATGACGTCGATCCAATTACTTCGCCGTTTGGTTTTGCATGTTGTCGTAGTACTTGGTTAGGTCGTCTGCTCACGTGGTATGAAGTAGGATACTTAGGATATTGTTGGTGGATCGAGAGTGAGGGAGGGTCTAGTGATCCGGAAACCTACCAAACCATCAGAAGTAAATGTGAAGTATTTGATTTTTATTTGCCTTTCAATATTTCTAAGTGTATTTAGGCTGTAATTAATGTAACATAAAATTCATTGCCTTTTGGACCAAAGTTTAAACCCCCTCCCCCCTCCCCCCTCCCCCCTCCCCCCTCCTTTACTGTATGAGAGGTCAAAATGGGCATTTTGTTACTTTCGCTGTTCTTAATTTGCGGAGCTTTTCCTTCCCATGGAAGACGTGTGTGGATAGAATAGTTTTTAAAATTCCTATTTGAAGATATTTAACTAGCAGGAGTTTTTTTAACGCAAGAAATGATGCTACCTGTTAGACTAGAATCGCTTTTTAAGAAAGAAGCTGGAAATGGAAACATTAAGATTTGAAAAAGTTACATGTGTTACAATCAGGGTAGGAAAAAAAATGTATATATTTTTTGCTGTTAGAGCGTTCGGCTACTGGTGAATTACAAATTGTAATATTCCTCACATCTTCTAGCTTGTCTGGCGCGTCATAGAATAAACAAAGTCATCGGGCTAGACTGTAGGCTCTAGATAACTTTAATTTCTCGATTTAACGGTATTTTTAGTGCCAGGAAAGGGCTGTCTAAAACGGAGGTGTTATAACGAAATAAGGAAACTGGTTTAAAAATTATTTCTTTACTTTGGTTCTGTTATGTTTTTGTCAAATTTCAGTTCTGTCTCAAATCAGTCTCAACGACCATGTTGTCAGTTGAATTCATTTAATTAGCTGAATCACATGCGAATTGTGATTGGTGATGCTGGGCTTAAAAATGTTTTACGGACTCAAGCATTTTTTTTCAAGCCCTCAAGACTAAATTTAACATCTTTTTTTCATTGGTTGCAGAAACAAACGCGAATAATCAACCTCCTGGAGTTAAATTTTGTATTCATTGAAAGTAATGTAGATTGCAACGGTTTATCTGATTGTTTTCCCTTCCTGAGTTCTGGTTCCTTTGTGATAGGATCATGAAATTAATTTACAAGCTGAAATAAAAGGTGAAAATAATTGTAAAGTTAGGCCTTGAAATTTTTTGTTCTAGGTAATAGTACATTTAGGGGTATATCCCACAAGCTTTATCGCTGAAGGGTTTTCCGTAGTCGCATGCATCGTTGCGTGCAGATTTAAAACATGCTGTCACTGATGAACTTACGGGCGTTAGCTTCTAGTTTAACTTTATAATCACCACGGACTGGCCATTTATGTTTGAAATTGAGAAAAAAAAAATGCTGAAAACAATTGCAATGAAATACTTGGTCCATTTTGCTGTAGCAGTCTGTAGATTTGCTGTAGATTCCGTATTTTACGCCGGGCGAGTTCCGTACAAGCTTCAAGATATGTGTTAACGGCCGTGGATGTGTTGAGTGATAGTTTCAATATTTCAATTTCTCAGAGTTAATTTAGCTCAAATCATTGTTTTTTAAAGATAACTAAGGTAATAAATAATTTTTATCAATTCAAGATGGCGGACGGAGATAATGTCTTTCAGCTTAGCACAGTTGGCACGTTCTTTTGCATTTGGACTTGACATATGTGCTTTGTTGACATCGACGTCTCCAAGACCGATAGCGACATTTTCGCGTACTGTCCTGGCAGCTCGCTGAAACAAGGAGCAAAACTCGGTTATGATTGAAATGCATGAAGTTTTAATGACTGAATACGTGTATATCTTGTATAGTTATACACTGTATGCAAAAAAAAAAGATCAATAAGATAAAAAATGCGGTAATTTTTAATCAGAAAGGCTAACTAATTGTCAGAGACGGCAAATCGGCACTTCGTTCGTCCTTCAATTGACAAGTTCTTTCGCATGCAGAAAACGCAAACCTCCACTAAAACTTGTGAAAGTACGAAAATCGTGTATGGATAAAGAGCTTGATGCGTTTACACAACGAAAAAATTCAACTCTTGAGTGCTTTAATCACTTCATCTCTCACTCTTGCTCTTTCAATCCAACTGGTTTGGAAAATTATGATGTAATAGCTGGCAGTTTTATGGGGAATCGTTGTTTGAAGAAAATCAGAATTTTTTTATCAATTTGAAGGTGAATGACTAGAATAGTGCAGTCTCGACATGATAAGAACGAATTCGAATGATGACAAGAAAAATGGTTCGTGTTTTCCCCAGGAAAGTGCTAGCTATTTGAAAATTTTGCTTTTGTGTTGGTTTTACCTTTCTCTCCCCGTCCTTTTACTTTCGCCCTCCGTTTACACTCTGCTTTGTACATAAGGTCCGCCTGCTGAGCATCAATCGGACTTAAACGTCGTCTCTGACCAATGGTTACCTGAAAAAAGGGATCGGTAGAGTTCAATTCTACTTTTGCCTTAGCCTGTCAGAATATTTAAGATGACATGTCAATCGGTATTAATCTATCACAAATGGCACAATCTGATTTGCTGTCAACAAGTTAGGGTTAATGTTCAGTTAGGGGAGGGGTGGGTCCGCAATTTCTCAGATATTCACAGTTCTCGCTGTCTATTTCGTGAAATATAGTGAGTATGGCGTTAAGCCCAGAATAAGCAACAGATACGTATGTAATCAAGCAGGTTGATGCAATTCTTTGCATGAACAATTATGCAGTGATAAAGATATTTCGACAAAGGAATCTAGACGACAATAGCAAAACATACCCCGTGTTTTTTAACAATTATCGTTGGCTTTCCATTCTTGCTGAAAGCTTTACTTCTGTAATGCATCACACTTCCATAATCATATGGCGTGAGAAGTGAATCAATTGTCGATCGCCGGTACTTGTGAAAATTTTTCTTTGCTCCTGAAAAGGGAAATCATCGATTAAAACTAAAAAACGCAAAAATAAATTGAACAAGTAAAACAAAATTGGTGCAACTATCACTTGGAAACTATGGAAAATCAATGCTTACCTGAACGAATGTTTTCGTACTTTATTTTGATGTAAGAGTCTCGATCAGGTCGAGACTGTTCATGATAAAATCCAATCGCATGCCCTGAGAGAAGTAAAACTTTATAAATCAAAAATCATATCACAGGTACTGCCAGCTTAAGAATGCCAGCTTGGAAAGAATTGTAGACTGTCGCTCTGAAACTCTTCATCGTAATGGCTTTGCATTCAGGAGATACAATGAAACCACCCCTACAAGAACCTAGATTTTTCTCAACCAGCTTGAACAGGATCTCAGTGTTTTGGTAAGTTACTGAAAGTTTGGGTCAATTAAAAAGGAACCACAAGCCTGGATTTTGTCCCTTAAATGCATCCTCATTATTCAAAATCCTAATTTTAAGAATTAAATGCTTTACAACTCTGATCATGCAAAATAATCATTCTACGGAAAATAAACAAAGTACGTGCAAAAGTAACTGAGAAAGCTAAAATAGAATAATAGATTTATATTTAAGGTAGAATACTAAAATGCTAACAATTACGGATAAAATTTAACTACACTTCTATAATTAAACTCTTGGAGATTTCCACCTTTTTGTGGTCTTTGGCGGAGTATGAAAATGTATTTACCTATTTCATGAACAACTGTTCCTTTGAACCAACACCTTGGTCCGAGAAAGATTTCCTGACGACGACCGACTCTCCCCACATATGATGCACACCTGGTATATAGAAATGGCGTATTCTTTCAAATGGCGTGATTTTTTTCAGATAAACAGTACATGCATTTGTGTGTTCATACACAATCTTTCTTGAATAACAGAGAGATTTTCACTTAAGATTTTGAATACATTTCATAATATAAATTTGATGACAAAATATATTTCAACGTAGGTTAGGAAGCTCTGAAACAGTAAGTAACAGTGACAATGTTATGAAAATGGAAGCGATCTTCGCAGAAATGAACACTATTGAAACAGTAGTGAAATAAGACCCGAAAAAATTCATGCCTGTACGGGATTTGAACCAATGACGCTCTACGAACTGAGCTAACAAGGCAACTGGGAGCTGGTCATTATGTTGGTTCCAAATAAACCTGTAAAGTGGTAAATAAATGACAGTGAATATATGAAAATCATATATATGAGATACTGTCATTTACTGAGATCAACGACGTGCAATGATTTTCAGATTTTTAATCTTTTTACCAAAATGATTACTACATATTCCTACTTACCGATTGCTATACCGAAACAGGACGTAAGCTTTTTCGTTTGTTCTCTTCTTAAACTGGATGCAAGTTTTCGTCCTCCATTCCGCCATTGCTGCTTTGATGGCAGTCATAGCTCGGGATTTTCGACCTAAAAGTAACTTTTTGTTGTTGATTAAAACATTTTTACAGACGTTGGCTGACGAACTGCATTTTCCTTAAGGAAAGTCAAGTTTCAGTCTATTTAGAGTAAGGCTAGCGACGCTAACTTTTCCTAGAAAGGAAACTTCGCTCTCTAATTAGAGATAACTTGATCAATAAATTGATAGATTGATGCATCCAATGGTTGACTGGTTCATTAATTGATTTATTTATCTAAGCCAAGAGCACATTAGGGAGTAATGACACTTTCACTTAAGATTTAGCGTACAATCCGTTTTAGAAGGACTTTAAAAAACAAATATTTTATTTAAATTAGTTGTTCAGCAGAAAGTGGGGTCCCGAACGCTCAGAGACGAAAAAGTTCGTCATGTCGTAAGACATCATGGTTCTCTGACTTTCCTTTCACCTCCTAGTTTAATCATAATGGTGGTCTGAGGATTAGTGAACATTTTCGAGCGATCAGACAAACTCTCTAAAGAACTTACCGAGGTTTACATCGATTTTATATTTCACGACTCCCCTTGGCCACAATCTGGATCTCGAGGTGGCTCTTTTATGCCGAGAATCATCAATGTCTAATTCTTCTTCCGCTCTTTCCTGTTGGTCTTTTGAGAGAATCATGTCTCCTTCAAACAGACTGGAGTTTCTCATGTTAAAGTTCTCTGAAAGAAGAAATTGACGATAATTTAAAATGTCACGGGGTATAAATCTCCTTATGCATGATTCTCGAACACTACATGTCAACTTCCGAGAATCATTTCCAAACAGATGACAAGATCGCTTCAGTTTCCATTGCTGTGTTAGGTTCAGTTTCCAACGCATACAGCTAATAAGCGAATACATATCACACTTAAAATCATCCCCTAGTGGCAATGTAACTCAGAGTAGAACAGCTTGTGGTAATTGGCTGTCTCTAAAACAGAAAAGGCACATTTTCTCACACTAACTTACACAAGCTGCTTCACATTTTAAATGATGCGCCTACTCTTACCATCGGGACTGTGCAATACACTAAGCACAGATCTAAATAGCAGAATAACGCAAATCCACCTCATATTTAACTGTCAATTTAAAAGTTTTATGTTAACACTCAGGAGAGTGTTGAAACAACTACGTGCTATAAATTCCCTCAGCTATATACAGTCTTTGGGAACGTCCAACATCAGGAGTCCAGATTTAAACGGCGGTTAGAACCACTTAGGATTCTTAACTATTTTCGTAATACTCGTGTGCGCTTAAAAGCTACAATATATATGAGTGTTTCGTAAAAGATAAGCCGCTTAACGATCTTGCGTCTTCAATGTAAACAAACAAATTTGGTCTGCACTTCAGCGTTATTACGTTCGTTTAGCCCGTGTTTTAGCTTCTTTCAAAGCCATTGCCTGAAGTGAGAAACTACTCACGGCACAACAGCGAATTTACAAATTAACAGATGGATATAGCATCAAAATCGTCCACTTCTCCTAGGCGCTCTACAAGACTGTTTTTTTTTAAGTTTTATGTCAATAACTTCAAACATATTTGATAAGAGAAAATTCGATATGTAGTACACTAAGATAATTATCATACCACAGCTTAAGCTACAAGTGTTATACTTTTAAATATCCAAACAAAACTATCTCAATGAGTCTCAACTTGAAACGGAACTTTTAATGAGTCATCAAGTTCCTTTCAACCATTGGCAGGAAAATTGTAATTTGTATGAAAGACTACCTATGTATAAGTTTGAGGCGTTTCTTCTACTGTTTTATTCATAGTAAAGGTTGTCGAGCGTTTAAATTAAAATGACGTTATGAATTAATTCAACTCATAACGTATAATGACATATAAACAAGCTAATATCTTGGGTATATTGGAATATGATAAGCATTAATTTTCAGCAACGTATTGCGTTCCTTTCCGATGACCCCTTGAATTGAAATGAACTTCCTGTGGAAAAAATGCTTCGTTGACGTAGTTTAGAAGTATTAATATCGAAAAATATCGATAAAATTTCCAATTAAAACGGAAAGTAATGATGTTCGATGATTCACTCGCGGTCTTTTCAGGTATTTCGCACTGAATATTCGCTGCCGACTTAAATATGACGTTATTTCTGGCGTCGAGTTAACAAGTTATTTTGGGTTTGCAGATGTCGTCTTAATATGTCCAATCTATATGTTATATCTTTAGTTTATGAATCCTAAAGAAACAATAAACTTTGATGTTTTTGTTGTTGTAAAGTGATTGTAAACTTCATGACACAATAAAAACGACTTAGAGCATAAATGAGGGATTTTATGATCATGTAACATATACATCTCTTCAAGAACAGGCCTTTTAAGTTATATCATGATTACCGTATTTATGTTTTTTTTTGGCGATCAGGATCGGAAGCACATTAGTCTATCGCATTTTCAGTCACTGTTCACATGAATATATCGTATGTTGAAAGGAAACATGAAACGGTTAAAGACCCATATACATTCATACATATTGTGTATCGATTCTTTCAAACCTGCCCACTTGGTTTTAAATCTACTTCCAGGGGAAAGAAAGACTTTTATGACGTAACTTCGCAAAGCGAAATTAGCGAGTAGAGGGCCAAGAGCATATTTTTAGTCGTTGGAAAACATTGATGCATTGGTTTATTTTCTCTTGGTCCATATCATTTCCTATACGTGGAAAGAATGTTTGAAATAACCATGGATAGGAAGCCATTTAGAATGACGAAGTTCGAGCGAGAAATGAACTACAAGTGGGAGCAAGTTAAGAGCCCTCGAAAGTATCACGTTGCCACGTTACGGCTTTGCCAAGAAAGGTCTATTTAATTCGCGGTTTTTCTTTTATCTGCATTTTTGTTTAATTACTCGACCCTTTTTTATCGCGGTTTAAGTTTTCCGACTTCTTCAACATCTTTCAAAATGAAATCAAAATGTGGCTTAAAGCCGGCAAACAGAAGACTCGCCACTCGTAGCTGTTTTAATTCCACACTTCGATCGTACAGTCCAGCTAAATTCTAACAGTTCGTATCTCTTTAAGTTGAGCTGTAATAGAAAAGAACGATTTAAAACACCAAACAAGTACACAAAAAGAGAAGAAGAAGAAAAAACAATCTAAAAAGCATTAAGGTAAGCACAGATGGAGTTATTTACATATTCAGCGTTGCCGCGTCATAAAAGTTTCTTTCCGCTCCAGGCTATGTAGCTACTCTACGGTTTGTATCAACTTGAAAATATGGTTCTGTCCCCATCTCCTCTCTGACCTCCCCATTTTGAATTTATAACTAATTCACAGCCTGTTATCAAAATGTGTCCCATGATCTTCTAGAGCTGCTGGAGCCAAAAAATAGAGAATGAGCTGAAACTTATAAAAGCCACTGTCGAAGCATCGAAACGGATCCTCCAATAGAAACACAGCCGCTAAAACGAATTATTTGCTCAGTCGATAGTCATGCTGCTGTTAGAAATTTAAATATTGGTCAACCTCGTCACCTTCGATTATCGTTCGGTAAGCTGAGCGAGGGTGGCCTACTCTGATGCACGTTTGAGCCCGCGGTGGTAAAAACATTCAGCGGCCTATTACTTTTGAGCCACGAAATGTCCAATCCCGAGCCCAGGGTCATTTTGGCTCCTTGCCAGCGGTATGGTTGTCAAATAATGTAATTGAAAAATACCCACATTTTTACAGAAACTGACGTGCAGGTTACCTAATTACCACAACCCATTCATTGCTCACGTACTTCACCGGCTTAAAAGAGGATTTAGACTGTCATAATTACCACAACCCATTTATTGCTCACGCACTTCATCAGCTTAAAAGAGGATTTAGATTGTCATTTCCGAGGTAAACATCCAGACGTAACGGCGAGCCAGAAACAGTGGTGATCTACGAAGAGATTTGTTTTAAATTTCGACAGGTTCGCCGAAGGCTTCTCTATACTGGCAACGATCTCAGTTAATTAACTGGGTCTGTACCTCTTTTATGATGGTGATAAAATTTTAAGTCTGGAGATAAAATTTTGGAATAAGTAATAACACGGTCATGACCTTACATTAACTGAGGGACCCATTTCCGGTGTCTAATAAGTAGACGGTGTTAAAAATAGAGAAAACAAAAGTTGTTATCGTCATGGCACCAGCTTCTTGACCTTCGTTTTTAATGTTTGGGCATTCATCATGCTATCAGCGATTCTGAGTTGAAAGAATTTCACCACAAGGTTGTGAAGGAACAAGATTGCAGATCAAAAGTACCGTTCAGCTTTGATTAAGTTCTGAATTGTGCGATCTTATCGAGGATCTACAGAGATCCTCGTTTCTCAAAACAACTCCAAGTAACTTCAATACGAGAGGTATGTTAAAACATCTGATCAAGCTGTATTGATTAAAAAGCGATGCAATCCCGCCGAGTAGTTAAGCGAAATTATAAAATTACTAAAAGAGCTAAGGAATTGTTTTTCATTGACTTAAACCAGCGAGATATGAGGGTCCTTTGAGTACAAAATATCCAATGCACATGTTTCGATGTTTTGTTGCGTACACGTATGCTATGTAAAACAATAGGTCCGCAATGTGTACATGTGTGGCTTACGAAATTGAGCTGCTTTTTAGTGTCTGGTGTCTCATTGGGTTTCTATCAGAAGAGCTAATATCTTATTACCATTAGACAGTTTTCAATATTGATCCTGTTCATCAATAACACAAGATAACTAGCATACAGTAGTCCTGAAATGTTCATTCTGAAATCTTTGTTATGGAGGTCTCATTATGACAACAAAGGTTGCACATGTAACCCGAGGATTTAAGAGGCTGTCTCTCTTATTTCCACCCGGTCAATTTTGCGTCAAAAATAATTTCGCCTGAAACTCTGTCAACAGAAAGACTTTACCTGGGAAAGAACTAAATTAGATTTGGTTTGATTCGAAATAATTTTCTGACTGCATTAGGGGCCATAATTATTTTCCAGTCCGTAGGGACCGTCGCAACGTCTCGAAAATTGAAAAATAGGCATATTTTGTAACATTGTAAAATATTTGATTCGCATAGTTAAGCCACAGAATTTATATCAGATTGCTTAAAAACCTTTCTAGTTTGCCAAGAAAGTTAGAATTTTCCTTCTCAATATATTTGAAAAGGCGAATTTTAGCATATTCTGACCACTAGAAATCGCCATCGGCCGATGGCTGTAAATAACCTTGATTTAGACGTTAAGTTTTGGGATTTGGGACTTGCTTGACGATTCTATCCTACACAGCCGTTAAGTTTACACTTTTATAGGCAAAAATATGCAAAAATCCCTGTACGTTTTCGATTTTTCAAAAGTTATGACCGTTTGAATCAGCATATGTACGAGCATTCGCGATTTTTTCGCCTACACCAAAATCGAACAACTGGAGCAGATTTCGTCATAAATACAGCTTACCCGCTTTGCAGCCCGGCTTCATGGCTCACTTTAGAATTTTTCTAATAACCAAATCGGTGAAATCCATGATAACTTCAACAAATAGCTAGGTATTGCCTTCGAAAAGTAGGCGGCATCCATCGTGATTCGTGGTATCAAAACAAACGTCGGAATTGGCCACATTTCGCGGTGAATCACCCATTTAACATCGCTGCAGAGCTGAATTTTTTCCAAAATCAAAATATAAACTCTCCATGTCTGGAAGCTGAGGGAGAAATGAAGGTTTTAGGCTTCTGAAATGAAGAAATAATCGCTTAAATTTAGATCCAGTTCGATGTTATACTGTTCTCACAAAGGTCCGCACAAAAGAGAAGACCGCTGATAGCTTGTGCCGTACGTTGTGCCGTATGGTTTTGTTTTGTATCCCAATGTAATATTTGGGGAGAAAAATTTTGGACGAAAAGAATAAATGCTTTTACCTGGAGTTTGATATCATATAATTAATGAATCAATTTCAAATATCCTGAGCTTGCTTCTCTCGGTTCCGCGTCGAATGTGTCCACAGAACAGCAACCTGTCAATAGCCGGAGAAATCGGCTACCAGCATGTTAAAAACTTGACACATACTTCATATGAACAGATGTTATAAGTGTTGCTTTTGGTAAATTTTCAATCGATTTCATCAAAACATTTCACTGACTACTAGATATTATAATATAATACACTATAACAACGCCGTCAGAACTTGATATCGGAAGTAAAGGTAGTTTGTATCTGTAGAGCATATTCTACACTTTCAGCCACCGTTTAAGACATTGTTTACATAAGTCTACTGAGAAACACATTGACAATCTCTAATCACGTCCAACAGTTTGTCTATGAGGATTTTTTTTTGTCTCTCAATTTTACAGGGATCTCAAAATGACTACAGATGGCTCTCAACAAAACCACATTGAATTTCTGAAGTGTGTTATTGTGGTAACGTTCACAGAGGTCCTACGGATCGTAGCAGATTGGATGTGAGACTTTGATCTCTTTGTTAACTTTGTCTATCAGATCTTGTCTCTCGGAATTTTCCTGGACGCATTGGATATCTTCCTCCTCATCCAGTGATATCCTGATCACACCCTGATCTTTTCGGCGCATTGCTGCTAGCCGGGAGAAAAAGCTCTAAACTTGCACAGGACGAAATTGCAAGAATCCGTAAACGGAAACGTGGCAGAAACATGTTAAACCGTTCCGGAAACACGACGGATAACCTGTGTTTCCGTTACCGGTTTCGTGACGTTTTCTCGCGTTTCCGTTGCTGCGCATACAACGGAACCGGACCACTTTTACATAAACATAACGGAAACATGGAGTTGCATGTTTCCGCCACGTTTCTGTTTACGGATTCTTGCAATTTCGTCCTGTGTTGGCTCTTTGTCAACCACTGTTCTCTAGTGAACAAACGTGCATTTGATTCATTTTTCGCATTTCGCATGTCCACTGCTTCTCTGAAAATCTAACGCTGCTCCTTGGTTTGCTTACGGCCCATCCTGTTCGTAGAGACGAGTGGGGCGAAGTATCCACGGGAGAAGTGAGTGGTGTACTGGAATCTAACGAACAGCTCGAACACTCGATACCAGCGGTATCTATCGACGAGAACTTAAGGGCCCAGTCCCTTTTGATTGCATCATACTGGCCTAACTGACTGTATGCTTTCCAACGTGCAGGTGCAGCTCCAGCTGCGAAAAGGTTTCGAACACTTCAACACATCCAAACACAGAGCATTCAAACAATGACGTTGTACTCTTTGTTTCCTTGCTGCCCTTTGAACGACGCTTGACCACATGCTTTTCAGGAGGATCATAAAACCATTGAGATTCTATGGTTTGAAGGGAAGTTTGACCTTGGTGCTTGATATAAATTACGTCATGTGGAATGTACTTCCCTTTACCGATGCCATAACATTTCCAAACTCTCAGACCGATATCTCCATATTCGAAGTTGTGGAAGCTACTATAAATGCCCAATCTTATTTATACAGAGAGTGTTCTTTGATTCGTCTTCTATGCTTACTGCAGCTGTTGTTCCCTTCACTGGTTGTTTCGTCAATGCATATCCTCTGTCCAATGAAAGCTTTGACAACCTCGCTGAAGACTCGCTACAGACTGAAGCCTCTCTGGTTTCGGAAAAGCACTTGCATGCCATACTACACTTGCAGGCCTTCCAAAAAAAATAAAGGGTCAGCGGGTTCACCCGCAATGGTTAATGCGGACCTCTGTTATGCGTGATAGTGCAATCGTTCAGCTTTAAATTCCAAAACGCCAAACTTCGACACAACACTTAGACTTACAAGTGGAGTTCTATGACTGACTCTTGAAGAGAATGCAGCTGCAATCCAAAGTTTCGACGGGACATTAAGCGCGAAACATGGCTTTAGTTTTCGAGGTTAGTTCGCAACAACGAGTCAAAGAAGAGTATCGATAGATGCCGACCGCTGAATTTTGGAGGTATTTGCTGGAGTTATCATAAAGTTCACCAGTTTGGGAAGCGAGGAACATCTGAAATTTCACTTAAACCCATGATTTCTCCGGCTATTGACAGGTTGCTGTTCTGTGGACACAATCGACGCGGAACCGAGAGAAGCAAGCTCAGGATATTTGAAATTGATTCATTAATTATATGATATCAAACTCCAGGTAAAAGCATTTATTCTTTTCGTCCAAAATTTTTCTCCCCAAATATTACATTGGGATACAAAACAAAACCATACGGCACAACGTACGGCACAAGCTATCAGCGGTCTTCTCTTTTGTGCGGACCTTTGTGAGAACAGTATAACATCGAACTGGATCTAAATTTAAGCGATTATTTCTTCATTTCAGAAGCCTAAAACCTTCATTTCTCCCTCAGCTTCCAGACATGGAGAGTTTATATTCTGATTTTGGGAAAAATTCAGCTCTGCAGCGATGTTAAATGGGTGATTCACCGCGAAATGTGGCCAATTCCGACGTTTGTTTTGATACCACGAATCACGATGGATGCCGCCTACTTTTCGAAGGCAATACCTAGCTATTTGTTAAAGTTATCATGGATTTCACCGATTTGGTTATTAGAAAAATTCTGAAGTGAGCCATGAAGCCGGGCTGCAAAGCGGGTAAGCTGTATTTATGACGAAATCTGCTCCAGTTGTTCGATTTTGGTGTAGGCGAAAAAATCGCGAATGCTCGTACATATGCTGATTCAAACGGTCATAACTTTTGAAAAATCGAAAACGTACAGGGATTTTTGCATATTTTTGCCTATAAAAGTGTAAACTTAACGGCTGTGTAGGATAGAATCGTCAAGCAGGTCCCAAATCCCAAAACTTAACGTCTAAATCAAGGTTATTTACGGCCATCGGCCGATGGCGATTTCTCATGGTCAGAATATGCTAAAATTCGCCTTTTCAAATATATTGAGAAGGAAAATTCTAACTTTCTTGGCAAACTAGAAAGGTTTTTAAGCAATCTGATATAAATTCTGTGGCTTAACTATGCGAATCAAATATTTTACAATGTTACAAAATATGCCTATTTTTCAATTTTCGAGACGTTGCGACGGTCCCTACGGACTGGAAAATAATTATGGCCCCTAATGCAGTCAGAAAATTATTTCGAATCAAACCAAATCTAACTTAGTTCTTTCCAAGGTAAAGTCTTTCTGTTGACAGAGTTTCAGGCAAAATTATTTTTGAGGCAAAATTATTTTTGACGCAAAATTGACGGGTGGAAATAAGAGAGACAGCTTCTTAAGGAACTGAAAAAACATCAGCATAATCTCCCATAGTGGTCTGATAGATTCAGTCATGATTATGTTTACGTAACGAAGTGGAATTGACTTCTGAAGTTTGTAGGTTGATTGTCTTTTCCAAGGCAAGTGATGTGAAATGAACTCTAGGGAAGAATTTCATATGAATATTTTTGACATTTTGTGTACCAGTACACAAGGGCAAAACTTTGGATAAGAGCAGGGACATTCGGGAAATGATGTAATCTACTCTAGAAGCCATTGGGAGCTTGATTTGGTTTGAATGTATGACTAATTTTGGACAATACATACATGTAAAGTAACACAATGCTGAGTGTAGGTTTCTTTTGTCCATTAGGGCATAAAGTTCAACTTTCAGTTGGTTGAGAGCAAAACGTTAACTATAATTACTGTATTTAGGTTTTATGGGACTGTATTTTCAATAAAGAACACAGAAAAATTTAGTTCAGGTAGGTAGATATGAGGTTGCAAATGGAAGAGTCTAGGGAAAAAAGATAGGTGCATTACAAGATCAGAGCACAAGCAATACTTTAATGAATCATAAGTTGAGTTAAGTACTCTGAAGTAACATTACATTAATGTTGCTAATAATTCTTAACCCAATAAGATTTACAATTTGACCTGGAGGTTTTACTTAACAGAAAGTTCAAAAGAGATAGAGTGTCACCATAATGGATTTCAGAAACAGTAATAAGAGACATAACTTAAACACAGCAGAGTTCAATGTACAGGCAAGTTCATGATGGTATCATATGATTTAAACTACCAGAAGCTTTCAAGTTTTCTTATTATTGAAATTGTAATTTCATGCCAGTGAGTCTACCAAATTCAAGTTATGTGGAGAAAAAAATGAATGGGTGAACTTGAAATCATCATGCTAATGGTCGACTTCACATCATCGTGTAAAGTGCTAATCTACCATACAAAAAGGTCCAAAACAAACATGGTAAGCAACTGAATTTCATGTATCACTTTGTGTTAGAGCAAGAGGACTTGTGAGACCTGCTTCTCTCTCATTTGCCAGAACAAGATTGAACTTCTGGTACCAATCAAAATTCAGAATGACCGTGACAGTTTGGAACTGATCTGTTAAGACTGTGCTTTTAAGGGGTCTACATATGTGATTAGAACCCTGGGTCTCTGAGGATACCTGATGGTTATCTAATCCACATCAAGTAGCTCTAACTTTTAACTATAAACGTAACAAATGTCAGTTCCATTGAACTGTCTTCATAAAAACTCAACAAAGTCTAAGCTAAGTTAATTAAAGTGTACTTTGGTATTCTAAATAAGCAGAAGTAAATTTTTCACAAACAACAAATGTTGAGCTCATAGCGTGTGTGCAGTTTAAAGTATTTGAACAATTTAAAGGTGCTTATCATATGAGAAATCATGTTATTAATTATTCATAACGTATACATGAAAGATACACATTTACAGGAAATCAACAAACTGATGGCAGATAAATTTGACAGTATTGACTAAATGAAGTGTGTGCCATCAAAATTTGTCCTTCAGCTGAATTCTTACTCAGGAATGCAATTTTTTAGTGTTTATCAATATACGTAAAAGGGTCCAAGCTTTTGTTTATTTTTGTCAGCTACTGCATGTATCAATCAGAAAAACCTACTTTGTGCAAATCTGATTGGTTTCTAGTGTGATCTATTGTTGCTGAGCCTAGTTTATATTATTTTAAACATGAGTTATTACTTTTTCACTAATGATAAATGAAAAAGGCACCTAGCTATTTTCAGCCAATCAAAAAAGTGTAGTTTTATGAAGTATGAAGAGAAGCTAGAAGACTGCCAAGCTTGAAGGAAGTCATGAGATGTTAAGGTCTGAATAATTCTGGCCATAACTTGGAAAACATAACACTAATCACATTTCAGTTAACTTTAAAGCATTAGGCTTCTATTCATATTTTAATGAAAGCAAAACCACTTTGTTACTGAGTTTCAATGGATTACTCCCCAAAGTTTGGAAACAATCACAATAGACATTTAGCACCTTGTTAACGACAAACCGCAGTTTCAGGTTAGGCGTTAGATGTTTGTGACTTTTACTGGTTTAGCTATGTAAACATGAAAGTATAATTTCATTTAAAGAGGCTGTCAAATTGAATTTCCAGACAACAGCAGTGTTTGACTTTCTAATGGCAACAAAAAAGTCCTATTTTCACTACTGGCTAAAAATGTTTTATTCTATTCGTATTCAAAGACATGTAATGCCATGGGTGGTAAGGTATTTTGCAGTCTAACCAAAATTTTATCTTTTCATGTACTAAAAGACTGGTTAAGTAATTTTCTCACTGAGCATGTGGTATAAACAGAAATTCAGGATAAAAAATGTTCCAGTAAATGACTTATGTGAAATGTGACCGCAAAGATAGTCCGACTATTGGCAATAATGACTCCAAATTTTTAATGTGGCACGACCTGCACTAAAGGTCCAGACCATGAAATGTTGGCTTGTGAGAGCACAACTCCACACTGTAATCCGCACTTAGAAGACAAGCCGACTGTAGGAAATCTAAGCAACAAAGATGAATGAAAAACTAGATAAAAAAACGATCTTCGACAGCGTGTTACAGCCACCATTGCAAAATGGTCGCTCTCTGAAGCTTTGAAGCTTAGGTAACTTAGCCAAGCATAGACTGGAACCTATCTTCGACAATAATAAACCAAGTGACAAGTGCTCTGTTCACCGTGATAAATCCAGTGAGGAATAAGTGTCTTGGATCATGACATAGTGTGGTTTACATTTCATGTAAACCGCACAAAAACAGTAACAGGATAAACCAATAATTGTATAAAAATTTGGGCAAATGCAAGCACAAAAAACAAAGTTTATTTCCAACAGAAAGCCTGGGTGAACACAATTATGCATCTAGTTTCATTCTGATATTGACTTTGGTTTAACAGTCTCTCCTCTCTACATTCTGCTGATTCATTTGCAATTTTTTGTCTTTGATACTAAGATTGGGTTTGCCAACCCCCTTTTTTCTTGATTCAGAAGATTCATTTGCACGTTTCTTTTCCCTGGTCAGACACTGCCGGGCCAGCCTCTTTTTCCTAGATTCCTCACTTTCATTTACCCTTCTTCATTTCTCACATTCATGTTTAGCAATCACTCGTTTTTCTTTTTCTTCTGGCGTTTCAGTTAAAGACTTTTGCTTCCTTTTCATATGTTGTGTTTGGTTTCTTTTATTTCTGAAAGGCAAATGTTCAATTTTTGGACTCTCGTGAACATTTTACAAATCAAGTTCATAATCTCTGACAAAGACACCTTTAATTTCAAAAGGTACAAACCCTATTTGTAAGCAGGAAATGTTCAAATATGAAACAAGGTTTTCAATTCCTTCAATGGTAAGCAAAGCTCTTGCACAAGCTGCACTTATAACACAAGCCGGGTCTGAATGTGTTGGCTTGTGTGAGGGGAACTAACTCGTGATACGATCACCTGAAAAAAAATTACTCAATGTACTTACATTTCCCAAATGAGTGGGGCATCCCATGCAAATCCCTGGAATGAACATCAAAAATTCTAAAGCTTTGTTCTGAATTATTAATCACTGCAACAGTATTTATTCCAATTATTAACAAACAACACTTGAAGTTAAGTTGACAATTTGAAAACACTTCTGTCAGAGAATTTTGAAGAGACATATATGGCCCATTATTTGATGTCATGAACAAACTTCCTGTTAATGACTCACTATATTCTAATGTGTATACTTTATTGTAAATTGAAACAATGCATGGAACATCAGTTAAAAGCAAATAATCATTTGTCTGGACAGAACATCTTATAGAAGTATACAAATTATTTCCAATGGTAAGAATATTATTCAAAAGGGAAGAAGTCCACAAATTGATATCTTCTATGTAATGATAAATAATAGCAGCAAGTGACATTGCTACACATTGCTTACAGCATTTTCACCAAAGAGAGCTTCATTTTCTTGACTGTAGTCAGCACATATTGTTCTTGTTGGATCGATGACATCAAATATTGTAGGGCCTGGATTTTCCTCTACATCATTTGCCTGCCTTATAAGCAATGGAATATAGGCATTGTAGAAAATCATTTGTGAAAACCAAAACATCACATCATTCCACATTTTGTGTTGTCCAACAACTTGTTTCAGTACTGGCAAGTAAAATACATTTAAATAGAACATCACAAACATTAAACTCCAACAATGGTCATTAAAACGTGATAAGATATCCTTGGTTTTCACGAGATTGTCATGAGAGCCAATACTTGACCGGTATTGAGATTGAGATATACCTCCGTGAATTCTCAACAGTGCAAGGAGAAAGCAACTGCAATACGACTTATTTCACTTTCTGGCACTTTCAGGCGGCTTCAGACACTTTAAAACACTTTCAAACACTTTCAGACACTCAGTGGTGCAACCCGCAACGATAGATCAAGCCGATAGTTATTGGCTTGTGAGAGTGCAATAAGTCCTTTCAGTGTGGTACAACCCGTACCGAAGATTCAAGCAGTTAAATATTGTCTTTTAAGAACGTAGAAGCTCTTGCACAAGCTGCACTTATAACACAAGCCGGGTCTGAATGTGTTGGCTTGTGTGAGGGGAACTAACTCGTGATACGATCACCTGAAAAAAATTACTCGAGACCACGCTTACAATCAAGATGGCTGACTCAGATTAGTGCGCCGTACAATAGTACGATACTACACCACGTGACAGGCGCTCGACTCTCGTGTACAAGTAAATAAATAAATCCAATCGTGCCATAATGTGGCTAAACGAGTTGTGTAAGCCACACAATAAACAGAAAGCAAAGACAATTTGTGTCTAAGTTAAATGTGTGTGATAAAATTGATAATTTATGATAACGTAACTAAAAGATGTTCGGTAAGGCTAAATGATATTTGGTAAAACAAAAGGATCTTCCAGCGTATTTCTAGGATGTGTTTAGACGTGCAGTGTCAAATTTGAAGTTTGGCATTATCAGGGTTAGTGAGCGGAAAATAATTCATTTCGACAACAAGGCTGTGAAGGAACAAGACTACAGATCGACAGTACCGTTCAACTTGGATTAAGTTCTGAATTGTGCGATCTAAACGAAGATATTCAAGGCTCTTCCTTTCCCAAAAGAACTTCAAGTTACTGCAATACGACAGGTATAGGTATATGAAAACATTTGATCAAGCTGTATAAATTAAAATAGCGAGAGGTTAAGGAAACAGAAAATCATTCTAATGTGCTGAGGAATTGTTTTTTGTTGACTCTGTTAAGAATAACATCTTATCGCTTAGAGAACTTTCATTAGAGAGAATTCGTATAATCCGTTCGTTATAAGCTAATGAATTTGTTACTGAATGCTGATAAGAAGAGCAATTAAAAACAGCTGTGAACATGTATTCAAATACATCTCGACCGCTGAATTTTCCCCGACAAAATTCCTGAACAAACGATGCTGCAAAGGGTGATGATTTTCGTCGGGTGAAAGTAACTGTACATTCGCAAAAATCAGCAAAATCAAAGACAAGTATATTTAAAAGCACTACGCGTATTCATGCATCTCCATGGTATTTCGGAACTACAGAATATTTTGGCTAAGGAACTTGTTTTGAACGGTCTAGTAGATTCCAACGTGAATCACTCGTATATACGTGCCCAAACAGGTCACTAGAATATTATGCGTCTCTTTAGCACATAAAAACGAGTCATACGAACGTACTCTATTTATAACATAGCCCCCAGGCAATTATCAAAATAAAGAAAACATTAAATAGGGCTCAACTTTGCCTGGAAGTTATATAATTAAATTGATGGCGAATGTTTTTTAGCCAGGTTGCTTTTATTGCTTTGGCGTTGTTCTACAAAAATAAAATTTCATTCAGCTGATTCGTGCGTTTTACAGTCCATTGACGCTACCTGAACACTGAACGCTGAGTGACAGCGTGCGTCGTTGATCTTCCTAAAAAAAGAAAACTTTGCCTCGTAAAATTAAGGATTAATATTACTTGCGGTTTCAGAAGTTGAAGAAATTGCCCACGTCTCGCAATTTCTGTAACTTCTGAAAACAAGCGTGTAATTAATTCTTGATTTTACTCGGCCCTTTGTGATTATCTATGATGGTCATGATCGCCTGGGGCGATAACAACTATTTGTAGCTTAGTATTTTAATGCCAATCCGAACACCTGAAGATTGTGAGTGATCTTGATCGTTGAGAGAAAAATTTTACAATCTGTGATTTTGTTCCGGCGAGAAATCGCCTCTAACTTATACATAGGTAGTCTTATACAAATTACACTTTTACTGCCAATGGTTGAAAGGAACTTGATGACTCATTTAATCTTCCTTTCCAAGTTTAGATTCTATGAGATAGTTTTGTTTGGATATTTAAAAGTATAATACTTGTAGCTTAAGCTGTTGTATGATAATTATCTTAGTGTATTCAATATCAATAAGATTAAGAACATAAATGAGGTATTTTAAGATTATGCAAAGTATATAGCTGTTCAAGAACAGGCCTTTTTAAGTTTATCATGATTATTGTATTTATACTTTATACTTTTTCGTGATCAGGATAGGAGGCATATTTAGTGAATCGCTTTTTACAGTCATTGTTCCAATGAGAAAAATAGATTACCAACGTAATTTTAAAAGCAAACTCGTATGTTTAAAGGAAACATGAAACGGTTAAAGACCCATAGATATTCATACATATTGTGTATCGATTCTTTCAAACCTACCCGCTTGGTTTTAAATCTACTTCCTGGGGAAAGAAAGACTTTTATGACGTAATTCGGAAAATGGAATTAGAGGGCCATGAGCATATTTTTTGTTGTTGGAAAACATTGGTCCATTGGTTTAATTTCTCTTGGTCCTTATCACTTCCTATACGTGGAAAGAATGTTTGAAATAGCCGTGGATAGGAAGTTATTTGGAATGACGAAGGTCGAGCAGGAAACGATCCACAGGGGAGGGAGCAAGTTAAGAGCCCCCGAAAGAATCACGTTGCTACGTTACGGCTTTGCCAAGCAAAGTTTATTTAATTTGCGGTTTTTCTTTTATCTGCATCTTTCTTTTAATTACTCGCCCCTCTTTTTTTGATGCGGTTAAAATTTTCCGCCTTCTTTACCGTCTTTCAAAATGAAATCAAAATGCGACTGAAAGCCGGCAAACAGAAGACTCACCACTCTTAGCTCTTTTAATTCCACACTTCGATCGTACAATCCAGGTAAACTCTAACACAAGTTGTATCTCTTTAAGTTAAGCTGAAATAGAGGAAGATGACTTAAAACACTAGAAGAGTAAACGAAAAGAGAAGAAAAAAAACCACGCTTAAAGGTATTAAGATAAGCACAGATGGGGTTATTCACATATCCAGCGTTGCCGCGTTATAAAAGTCCCTTTCCGCGCCAAGCTATGTAGCTACTCTACGGTTTATAACAATTTGAATATTTGGTTCTGTCCCCATCTCCTTGTCTCTTCGTTCGTTACATTCTATTTTAACTACGAAATCCCTATTTTAAATTTAGTAGTAATTCACAACCTGTTATTAAAATGTATCCCATGATCTTCTAGAGCTAGTACATCGCCGAGCGCTTTGCTGAAGGCAAACAATGGAGAATGAACAGAAACTTTAAAGGGGCACTGTCGAAGCGTCGAAACTGATATTTCAATAGAAACGCAGCCGCTAAAATGAATTATTTTCTCAGTAAATAGTCACATTGCTATTCAAAATTTAAATATTGATCAACCTCGTCACCTTCGATTATCGTACGAAAAGTTGAGCCATTTGAAGCGTCTTTGAGTGAAATTACTTTTTTGAGGCCGTTAATGGAAGAAAGGGAGTCTTCCTTTCTTCTATTAACGGTCCATTAAGGCTAAATAATATCAAAAATGGGTCTATTAACATTTCATTTAGCATAATTGAGATACTCAGACCGAGATGTAGTTTAGATATGCAAATTTCAGAGCTTTAAAAATAACCCTCAGATTCTGTTCGTCTCATGTCAACAATTATTATTCCCGAAGACATTGTGTGGTCTACTTGTGATGCTGGTCACTATGGTTACAACTCGTTCATTACTTATGTAATTCAACTGCTCTGAACAGGATTGAAACTCTGTCATTTCAGAGTTAACCAATCAGATGGATGGGCAAGCCAGACATAGAGGTGGCCCACGAAGCAATCTCTCTATAGAGGAAACGAATTCGGTGCTTAAATATCTGTACCTTTTTGATGATGCAATAAAATTTAAGACCGGAGATAAAATTTTGGTATAACTTAAAAGGACAGTTTACATTAACTGAAGGAAAAAAACAGCTGTCGGTTTCAACTGAAGTTAGCGTTAAAAATAGAGGAAACAAAAGGATTATCGTTATGACAACAGCTTCGTAAATCGTGACCTTTGTAGTTTTTTTTTTTTTTTTACATTCACACGCCGCCAGTGTCAATAAGCGGAAAGAATTAGACAACAAAGGTACAAAGTAGGTGGTGTGCGCACTTCGATTGCGTTGCATCATGGTCGCCAAAGAAAACGTGAGTCATTTGCATCATGATGCGGTCGAGTGAACAACTCTTGTGCTAGCGAGAATAGCATGATAATGTGAATGTGATGGGGATTTACAGTCTGCTGCCGTTCCTTCAAAAGTAAATACAATACGAGAGGTATGTTAAAATATCTGATCAAGCTGTATTACTTTAAATGCTATACAATCCCGCCACGTGGCTAAGGCGGAGTCACAATGTTTCTGGAATATTTCGAGGAATTGTTTTTCGTTGGCTTAAAACAGCTCGATGTGAAGGCCTGTCCACAAAGTATCGAATGCGTGTATTTCGATGTAAAAGCAAGGGAAAAGCAAAGGTGCTTTCTCTTAGTTAAATATGTCTGATAAAACCAAAGTTAATCATGAATATAAAAGATGTTCGGTAAAGCTGAATCGATCGAACCCTCCGCTTTTTCCAAGACATGTGCGATACGTACACCATATTTGATGGTTGAACATAAAATACGGTCGGATATTTTGCTCACGATGGGGCTAGACCACCCCTAAAATGGATCGTTATCCCGTGGGTATTTTTTTCAAGATGGCGGCCTTCAAGCGCGCCGAGGCTTCTGGATTAAGAAGTGAAGGGATCAGGAGCCAAACGTGGCTTATTTTAACCGGGATTTTAGTAGCCTGGTAACAATAGAGTAATAAATAGCGCCTTTTTTCAGATTTTTCGGGTCTATTGCTTTCTATTGATATGTAATGTGGGTATGGTAGTGAAAACTTAACCGAGAAAAGTAGTATGATTGGAAGCGAAAATTTCGAAGAGATTGCAGCTGAAGATAGTTCAAGGAAATGCATTTCTATCAAGATTTTCTCTGAAGATGGAAACTAACATTAAAATCGAACCTATGATGACTTTGCATATTAATAACTTACAATTTCCTCTAGCCTTGTTTTTTCCGTTACCAAAACAAAAACATGCCTTCATTCGACAGTGTCTAACGTAAGAAATATAAATACAAAATGTTTCTTTCTAGCGAGACAGACATGATATTATTAATACAAAAAAGAATCTATTGAATTAGAAACTCTAATCTATTCGTTTATAAATCATGGCTGTCAAGATGCTTCATTACGAGCTGATATTAGTATAACGAGGTTTTGCATTCGAGTCATACTAAGGTAGTTCATTGTCTCTTCTCATTAAAAATGTACATATTCATAGCTTTTGTCCTAATACAAAAAAATATTACCATGGGTATTTAGGGTAACCTCGAATGGGTGAAAACAACGTATTTTGACTACACTCAGGCGAGATATTCAATGTGAAAGTTTATTTAGGATGAGTCAGCCAGTCTTGTAGTCTACACATCCTACTACAATCTACAATGTACTGCAAGTATTCACTGAAAATGAGGGGTTATACAAAAATAGGCTGTGCTACGCCAGATACGAAAAACCATTAAAAAACCACTCTTTAGAAGTGGCCAAAAATATGTGGAAACGTATTCCTCATCTAATGCAGCAGCACTATACCCCGAGGAAAGGGTAACTAAAATAAACCCAGTTACACTACTAATCACACAGAAAATTCAATGAAAGCAGTGATATTATATAGAGAGTTGGAAAACAAACAGACATTAATATACACTGCATCCAAACCTGAGATGACTGCAAAGTCGCAAAGAAAGTTAGGAAGTTTAAGGCAAAACTTAGAGATCCTGAAGGAAAACAAAGAGCAGAGGTCACTAAGTTAATTTCCAAGGAGAAATCTGGGCAAGAATTTGTTCTCCCCTTGGGCAAATATGTAGATTTAGCTAAGGCTGAGCCACTTCACAACACCAACAATGCCTGCAGCAGTGGTTTTCAGCTCTCCTGACAATGGCCATGCAGTACACTGACCAAGCTAAACTCCGCACAACAACAGTGCTTTCAGATCTTACCAACTCTTCACCACTAATTACATGTCTAAAGTGTGTGTGGGAAACCGTGAAGTGTGGAAGGCTGTGCAACAGCTTCAATAGGTGGTTCAGTGAAAAGAGAAAGAAGGGAATTTCTTTCTCTTATAGATTCACTGGCCTGGAATCCAAGAGGGTTTCATGGAACTATGGTTACCTCATCAAGGAACTCTTGAAGATAGCAAAATTTTCAAGAGGGTTTGCTTTAAAACTGCACTCACTTACATTTAGTGGTTTACAAATCAGGGATGCTGCTGCAATTTATTCTAGAGTTGAAGTAAGCAAACGGCAAGTATATAATTTGAAAACGCTTTGCCAAAACTATTTCTCAACAAATCGTCTGCTGTTAGGTGGAGTTAGTCCTAGTGTGTGGACCCTGGGCTATGCCATACCATACCACACCAATCAGCTCTTTAATAAGCTTGGGTTTGGGCTTGGCCTAAACTCCATGCAGGGTTGAGAGGCTAAACATATCAAGCTGGCCAAGTATATTGAGAATACCTATAATGTAAAGAAAAGTATGAGGTGGTGGATTGTGTTCCGCCATGAGTTTGTATGTCTCATTTGGCTTAGAGAGATGGACCCTAACAGTGTCTCATACTGGCAGGAGAAGAAGAGGGGTTGCGATTCCTACATATCTAAGAGGGTTACCGAAAATGATACCAGATTTTGTTATTGTGGTCTTCCAAAGTTAAATGCAGGTGAAGAAGGTTGCACAGTATGCACAAGCAGTGAGATGCAACTGGTCAAGCAAAGTGTTGCAACTGGAAAAGTTATCACTGAGCTTCAGCTGTATTTTAAATAACATTGGTTTAATATATATGAAGAGATGCTGGATTGTTATTTTTCAGTGCTGTAATTTGATTTTGATCATACTATAATTTCAAAGGAACATCCCAGCTCCTGTTATATATTATTAGAAATAAGAAATGGAATTAATATTTAAAAATAGAAACAATGTCAATTTTATAAAGGGAAAAACCACTACTTATACATTGTAAACTTTTAACTGTGATTCTTCAATATAGGTTCAACAATAATTCACAACAATATCAACTACAATTAGCACTGTAAAAAAATTTACTATTTATGCTGGATAACAAATAGTCTACATCTAATGTTATGGCACACCATCCATGTTCCAGTAGCCATATTGAAATTTAACTGTCAGAACTTCCTTTTCCTTATGAAATTTCAACTCAAATGGCTTCTCATCCAAAACAATTACCTAACACCTCTCCATTTCACGTTCTTGTCGCTTTTTTAAAATATTCTCCCTGTCTACTTTAGCCCCGTCAATGTTCATCCTCGTGAAGAGGTATTTTGCTTTTCGAAAATTCTGGCTGAGGCGGCGAATAATTTTGCAGTGCATCTTTCTTAAGGTTCTTGCTACCATTCCACGTGCAGGCAGCAGTTGTTGGATGTTGGAATCCCTAGAGCGCTCGTTGTATTTATCTTCCAAAACAATTACCTTACACTTCTCCATTTCACGTTCTAGTCGTTTTTTTTAAAATATTCTCCAGGTCTACTTTAGCCCCGTCAATGTTCATCCTCGTGAAGAGGTATTTTGCTTTTCGAAAATCATATTGTCTCACTGAATTCGTGACCAAAATTATTTCGGTTCAGGATAAATTTTGCAATGCAGTCCATTACCTCCATAGGCATGTCCACCGTAAATTCACCGAGCCATGGATTGGCTAGTTTCGGTTTCGGGCTGAGGCGGCGAATGATTTTGCAGTGCATCTTTCTTAAGGTTCTTGCTACCATTCCACGTGAAGGCAGCAGTTGTTGGATGTTGGAATCCCTAGAGCGCTCGTTGTATTTATCCTCCAAGATTCCCACGGCTCCATCAAGCTCTTTAAAGAAATCTTCCATCCTTTTTTATCTTATGCCCAGTTGAAATTTTCGATAAACAGTCAGTTTTAGCACGCTACAAAGCAGGTCGAAGCTTTCGGATAAACTCTAGTTTGGCGGCCATCTTGAATTTTTGTTATGCAAATTTTTAACTTTTCCTCCATTTTGAATTTTACCCATAACCCCCTCGCGCTACCGAAGACCCTCGAAATCTCGCGAAGTAAGTGTCATGGCGAAAATATAACAGTTTGGCTGCGAATATTTTCGACCGCTCTTACGAGGTAAACTGCGAAAATTTGAAAGAAATCGGTGACATAGCATGTGTCACGCCTGCCCGGTCCTCTCGTGGACAGACTCCTTTTTTTTTTTTGACAATCATCACACTACCAGGGTTAATGAGCTGAAAGAATTAGACAGCAAAGGTACAAAAGAACAAGAATACAGATCGGAATCACCATTCAGCTTGGAATTAAGTTCTAAATTCTGCCATCCAATCGATGATACACAAGGCTCCTCGTTTTTCAAAAGGATTCGAGGTAACTAAATTACGAGAGGTATATCAAAATATCTGATCAAACTGTATTGCTTTGAATGTTATACAATTCCGCTGCGTGGCTAAGCGGAATCATAACATTTGTAGAATGATTCGAGGAATTGTTTTTCGTTGGCTTAGAACAGCTCGACATGGTAAGGGCCCGGGTGCAATAGGCACATATTTGTTTCAAACGGCCCATGAAAGCGAAAAAATACCACAAATGCGCCGATTCACATTTTATTTAGCTTTATTGAGATATTCAGACCGAGATGAATTTACATGTGCAATTTTCAGAGCTTTATTCATACGTTCTCATAGATTTTGTTCGTCTCTTGCCAACAATTATTAACCACGAACACATGCGTTCGGAGAAGAAAACCTAGAAATGGATAACTCGCTATAATGTTTATATTGGCCTCATTTAAAAAAAAAAAAGCGTTCAGACAATAAGAGATGCACTGCGGAAGTAAGGTCAGATATTTATCATTGAGAATTTGACTGTAATTTTACTTGCCAAGAGCGGTCGTAAATATTCCCATACAACTGAACTCATATTTTCGCCATGACACCATGATCTCCCTTTTTAAAAGCGAGTCTTCCAGGCAAAAGGCCGCCAAAATCTTTAATTTTTACGCGACAAGCAAACGATGGGGGCAAAAGATATGTACCTCAGGATACTTCATGACGATTAGCACTCGGGATACTCAGGATACAACTATTATGGCTCCCAAGTTTACGTTTAAGCCGAATCCCCTGGCCCAAGTTCTACTAAATTTGAATATCTATCATTGACATTTAATGGTTAACAAATAATTTGCTGTTTTCATT